TCTATAGCCGACACATATTCTAAGGGCTTCATTTCTGATTTTTTCCAATTTGTCAAAAAATTTGAGACGTTTAAATGTGTAAATGTGAGATCCGTAGTCAAAGGGGCTTCTTATCATAGAATCAAAAACTTTTAATAGGATGGAGGGATCTGCTCCAAACCAAGTGGTGGTAAGGACTCTGAGAATGCTCAGAATTTTACGTGCTCTTTTTGCGAGGTAAATAAAATGTTCATCAAAAGTAAATTTGTCATCAAAAGTGATTCCGAGAAATACTGCTGAGCGGGAAGGATGAATAATGATGTCATTGAGTGACAGAGAAAATTGACGATTTTCAAGATCAAGATTTCTTTTTGTAAATAATAGGAGTTGAGTTTTTTGAGGGCATAATTCAAGGTTTTTATTGCTTAAATAATCCGAGAAGATATTAAGACAATCCTGTAGTGATTCAATACATAAAACGGGATCAATACACCTGCAGATGACACACAAGTCGTCTGCAAATTCAATTAATATGCAGTTTGGAGGTAAAAGAGATTGTAGTTTTCTGGTGTAAACCGAATAAAGAACAGGGCTTAATATACTTCCTTGTGGTAAACCAACTGTACTAATTCGAGGTCCTATTAATTCGCCATCAATATTGAAAAATAATATTTTGCACGCTGTAGAGTTATAAATGAATTTAGCAATAGTCCATGGGATACCCAAACCACGTAGGTCTTCAATAAGTAAATGGGGTGAGACACTGGGAAAAGCACCTTTAATATCTAAAAAAGCGGCAGCTGTGACTTCATGATTGACAAAACCTGTCCATACTTCTGATGCAAGAATGGCTAAATTATCAGCGCATGATTTTCCTTTTCTGAATCCAAACTGTGATGGAGACAACAGGGAATTGTGTTCTACAAACCAAACTAATCTGGAATGAATTAGTTTCTCGAGAAGTTTAAATAAGCATGAAGCTAGAGAAATAGGTCTATATGAATTTGGTTTTGATTTTGGTATAAACAGAATTAGAAAGTTATTCCATGATGAAGGAAAAGAGCCTGTAGAAATTATTTTATTAAAAATATGTAGAACAATCAACTTAGTTTCCTGAGGGAGATGTTTGATGATGTTATTATCAATTTTATCCAGTCCAGGAGAAGACTTAATTTTTAAAGAAGAGATGGCTATATTTAATTCTATTATTGAGAATGGGTTATCGAAAAAATCATTTTGTTGAAAGTTGGTAGGAAAATGGTCATAGAAAGCTGTTGGAGGGCAAGATTCGGAAACAAGTTCGTGGAGCTTGTTGATAACACTTTGATCAGAGGAGCATGAAGCCGTGACAGGTTGCGAAAATCTGTTTTTGAAACACTTTATGGTTTTCCAAACTTTGGTAATTGGCGTATGTCTGTCTAGTGAATCACAAAAAGACTTAAAAGAGTTTTTTCTAGCTTCTATTAAAGTTCGTTTAGTAGAAGCTTCTATTCTTTTCAGTTCAATGTAATTTTCATAGTTACAGGTTAATCTGTATTGCCTCAGTGCTTTTCTGCGATCGGCAACCGCATTGTCACAAGCATCGTTCCACCAAGGTGCTGGAATGAACTTCTTTCTATTTTTATTTGTTAATCGATGGTTATTTAGATCGATCGGATTGCTTTTGGGTTGTGGAGATGAGGCTCTAACTGCTTCATCTAGTCCATGGACAAATAAATCGTAAGATTCTATGGCGGTAGAATCATCTGAAATCAATCGAGTATTATTTTCTTCGACGAATTTCGATATTGTATTAGAGAAGACTGGCCATGAGATATTTTTTAAGTTATATTTATGTGATTTATACTGTGAAATAGGGACATCAGCGCCAATTGTAGAAATCACTGGAAAGTGGTCACTACCTAAATTATCATCCCACACTTTCCAAGTTGTAGATGTGAATAATCTTGGTGATAGAAAAGTAAGATCTAGCATGGATAATTTGTTATTGGGGCGATGACGATAAGAGGGGAACCATTATTTAGACATATAAGATTCACTGAATCAAGCGAGTCACATAATTCCGAACCATTGTGACAATTGGTTGCGCTTCCCCATAAAGAATGATGGCAATTAAAGTCACCTGCAATAAAAACATTATTTTCATTAATGTTAAATATAGAAGTAAATAGGTTAGACCAAGTTACTTTCGAAATATTATTGTCTCTAGAAGGAACTCTATATAATGTGGTAATTAGGATGTCTCCCATAGTTGACTGAATAGAGATAGAAAGTGTTTCTAGACTATTATCGATATTTAAGACAGAAGTAATCCTTGAAAATCTTATGCCTTGTCTGATTAAAATTGCTAATCCGCCTCCTTTGTTTAATGTTCTGTCTGCTCTTATGATATTGAAATTTTTAAGATATAGTCTGTGTGTAGGTTTAAGGAGAGTTTCTGATAAAAGCAAGATGTCAAAGTGATTTGACAAGTTGCGTAATTCTCCAGATTTACTACGAATGCCTTGGCAATTCCACTGTATAATTCTAATTTTCTTCGTTAGATCCGTTTTGATTGGAAGTTTGAGTTGAAGTAGAAAGGGATGCTATGACAGATGAGAGGTTACTAAGCAGGTTAAGGCTGATTTCATTAATAGCCGTTTGAGAACTAGTCGATAACGTTGAAATTAAGAACGTTATCATTGAGGATAGGTCTGTGTTATTAAACATGTCAGGAGTACCTGTGTCTTGAGAGAGACTTGAGTCAAGGTTAGAAGTTATTCCTTTCGGATTTAGAGCAAATCCGTTGGGAAGGTCGATTTCTGATCTACCATTATCGAAGTGACTTGAGATTAAACTATTGTTGTTACTCAAGTGTTTTCGTTTGCTTAGTGATTGGGATCTACTGTCAGTTTGTTCTTTTAATGATCTGGTGACATTAGAAAATGATTGTTTGATTCTTGGACGATGATCGGCCAGTGTGATTTGATAAGGGGCTCTTTATGATTGATGTAAAGTAGTGATGGGAGATGTTTCCTGAGAAAAGTTGAAATGTGGTTGAACATTATTCGAGTGTGTTTTTCTTGGTCTAACGGCTGCTTTGGCCTCTGTAAAAGTAACGCTATTACCAGCTGCATAAGATCTAAACTGTTTTTGGAAGATGAGTTCTGGACAATCTTTGGAATCTGATCGATGAGATTCGTTGGGGCAGTGGACGCATTTTGGATCCTCATTAATGCGAGGGCAAGGTGTTGAAATGGAGTGGGAGTGTTGTTCAGAACAATGGACGCAACGTTCACTAGAACGGCACTGAGAAGCAATGTGTCCGTAACGTAAGCATTTAAGGCACATTCGCACTTGTTGTGTATATGGGGAAACCGTAGATGAGGCTTTATATAGCGCAACTTTGTCAAGTTAATTCAGTACCATTAAAGGTAACAAGAACTGAGAGAGATTCTTTATATTCGAAAGAACCAGTTTCACTGTTTCTGAATTTTTTATTTAGTCGTCTAACATCTGCTATAGATGTTTTTCCTCTCATGTGTCCTAGAACTTCTAGGTTTTGTTTAATTTCGTCGTTTGATACATTTACCGGCACATCACGAATGACTCCTTGGCATCTGCAAAAATTAGCTGGAATAAAGGCTAAATAGCCCTTATTCTTTACTTGATCATCGTTTAGTAGATTGTTAGCATCAACGGCCGATTTCATGAGTATGCACAATTTGCCAATACCATTGGATTTAATATCCACAACAGCTTTGTTGTGAATTGAGTCTCTTGCGTGTAAAAGACGTCCAAATGAAACTTTGTTCAATCGGTCACCTTCTTTGGAATTTTTTCTTTGAGGGTCAAGTTGAACTAGGACCTTACAATGGCCTTTTTCAGTCAAAGGGTATCTAAAGGACGTGTTAGGACCCTGTTTTTTTGTTCGATCTGTGGGATCACCAGGTAGGACAGTAGAGCCATCTGTCACAGCGTCGGAAAATTTATTCTTATCTTCTGTGTTCGTTTTAAATTTTTTGGAACTCTTTTGTAACTCCATTAAAAGGCTTGCTGCGTTTTCGGTGTCCATATCTTCCTCGATCATGTCACTGTTGGGAGCAGATTGAATCTGCCCTGTAGAAGCGTCGTGTACTGACGACATGTTTCTACAAAAAACTTGATTGCGAGCCAAGCGCGCACATGCGCGCCGGCGTTCTGCCTCTTGTGAGGCGTGATTCACTATAGGAAGAAACTAACAATTGTTTTCTTTATGAAATATTTCACTAATAGCACAACCACTAATTGTTACGTAATCTCGGTTTTAGATAAAAGCGGAAAAACGCGGAATCAGACTCGGAAAAACTTAATTGAAACACGAAAAAATCAAAAGGAAAAGGAGCGGACTCCACGCGATCACGCACCTTCCGCCATCTTTTTGGCACTCTGCGCATTCTTCATTTCCTATTCGAGATGAAAAGGTCTATTTGAAAAAAATCATGAAGCTCTTTTTCAACTATAACTAAAGGTACTCTCTCACCTCTACTTCCTGCCTGCCTGCGCAGGCAGGCGCAATGAGAGTAAGGGAGAAAAAACATTTAATTTGAATTTTCTGACTCTCTTACTCTTATGTGTTACCATGACGACCTGCAGGCAGGTAGGCAGGCAGTATAGCTGTGCGAGCGCCTTAAAACATACAAAAAGTATGTGCCAATAATCAAAAATGTGAATTTAATCGATATTTCAGTTCGAATTTTTATTTCCACGAATCGATATTTGTTTTTTATAGTTCCAATGTCGTAATCGTGTTCACACCAAGGTTTAAAGATTTATAAATTGGTTTGAAAGCGACTTCGTTTTGTTTACTTCAAAATATATGTTTACTTTAAAATATTAAATTCAAAGTAAATTATAGTAAATTTATTTACAGAATATGAATTTCCTTTGAATCAGACAAAACAAATGCATTTGCAAGCAATTGTAGAAACACCTTTATGTCGAACGTTTAACTGAGGCAGTTTCTCATCCCTGCAGCAGACATGAAAACCGGCCTGCATGTTGTCAAATGTTGAAAGTATTGTTCAGTGTTCTTGAACATATCATAAAACATTTGTTGTCACAGGTTTTTGTTTCTTAAAAAATATGTAAAAAGTGAAAGTATTTTCCGAAAACAAGTGTGTCAAAAAGGTAACAAAAATATGCCAAAACAAATTAATTTTACGCAGTGTTAACAAGAGTATATTATTTCGCCCGTCATGAAAAATTACTAAGTGGGGGAAAACGGGCGAAATAACAAGAGGTATGTTTTCGTTGCCTGCACTAAGTGTAACTTTTACACCACCTCAAGAGTAGGTGCAGAAAGTGTAGCGAAGTGTTTGCGGTAAAATTACGTCACATCCGGCAAAGAGAACAGCATAGAGATGTCTAATGTGACGTCACCTCTGTCGGTATAGTCGCAGAAAGTAGAGCGATTATCTCCCAGGCCCCAATGTAACATTGGCTTATATGGGAGATTGCAGAAAATAATTTCTTTCTCTAAAATTGAAGTGAAAATCATGATAACCAAATGTGATTTGGATAAAGTAAAAATTTTCACAATACATACGTATTTAAAACTAAGTTATAAATTTCCCAAAGTTTAAAAATTAAAAAAATACCAGTTCTAGCAGACGAAATTCTCTTCTGCTAGTTCTGCTAGAACTGGTATTTTTTTAATTTTTAAACTTTGGGAAATTTATAACTTAGTTTTAAATACGTATGTGTTGTGAAAATCATTACTTTATCCAAATCACACTTGGTTATCATGATTTTTATTTCAATTTTAGAGAAAGAAATTATTTTCTGCAATCTCCCATATAAGCCAATGTTACATTGGGGCCTGGAAGATAATCGCTCTACTTTCTGCGACTATACCGACTGAGGTGACGTCACATTAGACATCTCTATAGTGCAGGTTCGGTGTTAAAGTGTAAGAAGTGCAGGCAACGAAAACATACCTAAGAGTAAATTATTTCGCCCATCATGAATAATTACTAAGTGGGGGAAAACGGGCGAAATAACAAGAGTAAATTATTTTGCCCGTTTTCGGTTTTCTCATTAATTTTAATAGGAAAAAAGGTTAACTTATCACTTATATATTGGTGTATTAGTTACATGTAGTTTCGTCTCATATTTTCGCAAATTTGAATTTAAATGTTTATTTAAATGTATGTTTAATACTATTAAATTAATGTTATAATTATATTTATAAAGATTTTAGTATAAGTACTTTTTTAAATATCGTAAATAAAAATCTCTATATACATATATTAAAAGATATAAATTAAAGAACTCTTTAAAACTCTACATAAAAATTTTTTTTTTTTTAATTTAATTGATAAATTAAATAAAGGGCCCCACAGGAAATACGATTGTTTTAAATCTCAGTCGATTTTCCAATAAATCTTTTAATAATAAATATATTTTCTGTAGGGTTCTTTTAGATTTAAAATTATAAAAAAAAAAATATAAAAAAATTGTTTTTCCAACTCAAAATTAAGGAAAATTATTTCTAAATTTTTCTTGTAAAAACAGCATCATAAAACTTATTCTCTAAATCTGAATTAATATTATATACTTTTGAATTGATTTGAACAAAACTAAGAATTTTCTAAAAATTAATGTTTTAAGTCTATAAACTCCAGATTATTTTAAAAAAATAAGTGAAAAATTACTAACGAGCACCAGAAATATTGATAAATAAAAAAACTGTGTAAATCATTATAAAAATTCACATCTTTTTAATTAAATCTTTACATAAATATTATACTAGTGACAATTTAACCTTTTTTCCCATTAAAAGTAATAAATAAATAATAAATAAGAATAAAATCAATTGTAAGAGAATTTAAGAAACATTTTCTATTCGAAATATGATTAAAAAAATTCTTAATACAATTGGTTATGTAAAAATGACTGAAATTTGTAGTAACTAACTCAATTAGTGAAATTTGACTATTTATTTAGTTATTTATTTAGGGGAAACTGGGGCGAAAAGTTAAATTGTGAAAACAGTTAAAATTCATTATCTTTCGAACGGAAATAGTTAGAGCATTGCAATTTTAATTATAGAAGGGTGTTATCACCCTGAATAAATGTCCGGAGTTATGTGACATTCTGCTAATTTTTGTGGTGTCCATATTTAAATTTTTTTTTCACCCTACCTTTGAAATTTCAAAAAAAAAAAATTTTTGAATTTTTTCTTTTTAATTTAATTTTAACTTAAAATATACTTAAAACCAAAGAAATCCTTTTTTTAAATCCAAAATCGGTTAATTAGAACCAAAGTTATAGCACTTTAAAAAAAAGACAAAAATTTTGAAAATGCCATATTTTTGGTAATTTTCAAAATTTTGAAAAAATATTTGGTGGAGTTGTTTATCACTATAAAAGTAATGAATTTACAAATTTACAGCCAAATCCCAACAAGTCATGAAAATAAGTGTGTTGAACTGACGTGGAATCCACCATTTATTCTCACCGCGATTTTTTTACTTCATTATTTGGGTCCCCTGAAGAGATACCTAAAGGTATTTGCTAAATATCTTTAGTCAGATTTTTTATATTTGTTGTTAAAGCCAAAAACGCACCCTGGGGCGAAAAATTAAATGTATTTTTACATGTAGTTAAAATTTTTTTTTTTATTTTTCGTTTTTTTTGGGTTTATTTGTTTAAAAATAATTTATTTGACATTAGGCAAGTACTCTATCAAAAAACAAAACCGCTCACGTGAAATAAACCAAAAATTTTTTTTTTTTTGAAATTTCAATTTACTAACTTTATAACTATTCTAAAGCTTTTGTTAAGTAAACATAGATCTTTTATTAACTAAATTACTTGTTTACGTATACTTTAACTTATCTACTACTGAACACCTATCAGATAATAGTTTTAGTAGGCTAAAAATAGAATTTAACTTTTTGCCTCAGCCATTTAACTTTTTGCCCCATGCTGGGGCGAAAAGTTAAAAAAAGCAAAATTTTTAAAAAAGGACAAAACATGTATTGCATGCGAAAATATCAGAAACTTTTTTATTGAAAGTTGTAGGGGACAAGTTGCCCTACAATATTGATGTATAAATATTTGCATCTAAGCGGATTTATTGTCTAAAAAAATCATTTGTGCAAAATTTAACATTTAGCCCCAGTCTCCCCTACTATTAATTAGTGATTCTCTACTAATAATTAGTTATTTTTTACTAATTGCTGAAGCAAAAAGTCATTCACGATTTTACTAATAATTAGTTATTTTTAACTAATTCAGATTTGGAGAGTTGAACTTCAAATCCAATTTAATCAAGTATTGGTAATCCAATCCACTTCTATCCAAAGTAGAAAACTAAATCCATTTCTATTATATAAGTTTTGATGTATTACCTATCAAAGTTAATCATATACTAAAATCTAATATTTTACTATTAAGAGTTTGGATACAAACTCTATCAAATTTTATTAATTGAAAAATCTAATAATTTTTTATCCATGCGTTTGGATTAAATACCTATCAAATTCTTTCCACATGGAAATCCATTATTACTCTATCAAAGAATCGGAAACAAATTCTATGAAATTCTATGAGCAGAAAAATCCTATAATTTTTTATCTATTAGTTTGGATTGAATACCTATCAAATTCTTTTCACACGAAAATCTAATATTTCTCTATCCAAGATTTGGATACAAATTCTATCAAATTCTATGAGTCTAAAAATCTTATAATTTTCTATCCATGAATTTGGATTGAAGATCCATTAAATGATTAAATATATTTATAAAATTGTCCAGCGAAGACATGAAATAAAATTCCCGTGCATAATTCCCGTACATTTCCCGCTTAAATATACAAAATTCCCGAATTTTTTTGCGTAGGTATATTATTCCATTAATTTTTAATTTTGTTATACAAAACGCCTATATCATAAATTAATTTGACTGTTACATTTTTATTTTAAAAGTCTTATTTTTTCAATAAATTGGTAAGTATTACAATTTTAAAACCCATAAAATTTAACTGGGTGTCCAGCAAAGAGCGTGAAAATTTTGAAGATTAATACTATATTTACATATATAAGATAAATTTGTGTACATAATTTTATAGGTTTACAAAGCTCGAACCAGTGAAAGAATTTATTTCTCGAATATTCTGCAATTAAATATATATTAAAAAATAAAAACATAAAATAATTTTTAAAAAATATTCAATTAAACTTTTTTAAAAAATTTAATTCCACAGAATTGTTAGTTTAAAGTACAAAAAATTCGAATTTTCAAGAACTTTAATTTGAAACCATTTCAAAATTCAATTATTCATAAAAGTTCATGCAATAGAATTTTTGAACATAATTGAAGCGTTTTATGCAGAAACCGCATAAGTCCATTTTTTTTCGAAAATCACTTTTTTATTGAAAATTTATCTTTAAATTTAAATGAAGCTTTTCAATCTGGTAAAATATTGCGTAAGTGACTAAACTCTAAACCCTTAAAAAAAATAATTAAAATATCATTTTGTGCAGAAACAGCACAAGTCCATGATAAGTTTTATATTTATTTGTGATATTCTTGACGTATTTTAATAATTTATATTAAACAGTTTATATTATATATAAAAACACTCATGGGAAGCAAAAAGTGACAGTGGTGACGAAATTATTTAAACAAGTTGTAAATCCAGATGTTCATTACATGAACATTTTGCTTCCTCTTTACGATCAGCAAAAAAAATTTGCTTCCTCGTGAAGGAAGCATTAACGATAAATATATTTCATTTTTAAATCATTTTTAATACAATTTAATATTTATAAAATAAAGTTCATTCGTCTTAATAGAAAAATAAAATTTTCTTATATAGTAATATGAATCTAAATAAACAAAAAAATTTTTAGTCAAAAAGTGAATTTTTCAACTTTAATTGTAATTAATTCTATAATTTTCAATAGAATGTATACTTTATATACATCAATCGAATCGTCTTAATGCAAAGAATAAGATTTTTTATTTATTTTTCAATAAATAATAACATTCTATTGTACAGCAACATGATTTTTAAGAAAAAATAAATTTTTATTAAAAGTGCAAATTTTTTGTCCCTAATTGGTTTTAATTCTATAAATTTAAGTAAAATATATACTTTATATATACCAATCGATCCGTCTTGGTGTAAAGAATAAGATTTTAGAAATAAATGAGTAAGATTTTCTTACACAGCAACATAATTTTGCGGAAAGAACTCATTTTTTGATAAAAATGCGATTTTTTCAGCTTTAATTGTGATTAACTCTATAAATTCTCATACAATTTATACTTCTTATATACCAATCGATTCGTCTTGACGCAAAGAATAAGATTTTATTATATATTAACTTCAATAATCAACTTAAAAAAATTTTTTTGAAAAAAAATTTTTTTTAGAAAAAAGTCAAAAAAAATTTTTTTTTTGAGAATTTTTTAAAGTCTATCAATCCATTTCGAGATATTTTTATGATAAATATACCTGGTAAATTTTAGCCAAATTCGTTAAAACCTCTTCGAGTTATCGTGTTCACAAAAATCGGGATCCACACACGCACACACATACATACATCCGGACAATTGTTCAGGGTCTTATATAACATAGTCCCATATAGAAGAAAATTTGTTAAAAGGATTTTTAAAAATTTTGTAAACTAAACGACTACAAAGCTTCCTCACGAGGAAGCAAAATTAGAAAATTGGTTAAATTTATTCTTAAAACAATTTTATTATTTATAAAATGTTACTAAAAATTATCCAAATTTAATATTTTAAATAAATGTTATTAAATATTTCATGAAACTTTGATATTTCACTGGATTTAATAAATTTTCTGTGTTTTTCATTTCATTTTGTGCAGAAACAGCATAAGTCCAAATGTTAATTTATTTTTTAATTTTTTATGTTAAGTAGATAATTAATTAATTATATTGGATTTTTTAACTTATAGGTTAGTAGAATATAATGCAAAAAGCCGAATTAAAAAAAATCTTAACATTTACGAGATAAACAGTTTTTATTGATTCCTGAACAATTTCGAATTATGGACTTATGCTGTTTTTGCACAAAACGCTTCAATTAAATTAGGCAGAAGATTTTTATTATTTATAAAGGTAATTGAAATTTCGACGAGAATTTTCTTAAATTTTTTAATATAATTGAATTTTTCCGAAGAATTGAATTCCTATAAAAATGGTATTATTTATCAAAAATGATTAAATGTTTCCATAGAATTTTTTCAAAAATTTTTTTAAATAATTGAATTTTTCTGCAAAATTTCATTAAAATGTAGTATACATAAATTTATTATTATATTTTAATAAATTTTTTAATATAACTATATTTATGTTGAAAATAATTGAATTAAGGAAAATATGAATAAAATAATTAATATTTTGACAATTTTATGAAAATTGTTGAAAATAATTGAATTTCGGAGAAGGATTTTATTATTTATAAAAATAATCAATTGTAACTTCTCAAAAAATTTTCAAACTATATCGTGCAATTTACTGTTTTTTCGTACTTTTCCAAACAAAATAAGGACTTTTTTTAAAAAACCAACTTTTACGGACTTTAAACAAAACGGACCTAGTTCGATCCCTGTGCTTAAAATTCCTGGTGTCAGAAAAAAATCCCGTATATTCCCGTACATTTCCCGCACCAAAAAATTTCCCGTTCAATTCCCGCTTTTCACGCATTTCTCGGACGCTGGACACCCTGCGTCCGCCATATTGGATTTGACATTTTGAATTTTGAAACTGACATCATATTCGTAATCAGCGACCTCAAAAACCCCCGAGTAACAAATTTCAAATGAATCTAATGACATTTTAAAAATGTCGTCCGACATATTTTTATCCGACATTTTTAATTCGTAATTAGTACGATTTAGTCCGAAGTTGGTCAGATCATATGCAACTAGTAAATGCAGAAGTAATCCGGTTGGTTTAACCAGTGAATCCGCAGCTAATCCGAAACAGTCTGCTTATGGTCAGCTTTTTGTCACTCAGAATTAGTCCGGATGAATCCAAACTCAATACGGTTTGTGTATAACCAGTGAATCCGGAATTAGTCTTTGAATTGGAATGAATATGGATTGTTTAGGACTGTCTGTGGATTGTATATATTTACAAATTCCATATTATTATAAGACTTATTTTCGGACTGGGGTGTTTTAATTGGATATTATTCGGATTGCCGCTGACTATTACCGGATTCTTTGCATACAGATTTTGGATTGTTCCATACTTGTTTCGGATTAAATCTTTTAACTGGATTAAATTCGGATTATTGCGGACTGATTCCGTATTCTTTACATATTGATATCGGATAATTTTACAAGTAAAGGTTGCATTTTTATCTTTAACATCGACACCAGCACAACTGCTCAAAGCCCATTGGCCGCAGACAGAACATGCAGCCCAGCCTTCATTTGAGTCTAAATAATAACCATTGCAATAGAGACAAGGTGTATTTTCCACTTTACCATCGCTAATTGATGATTTAACCTGACAAACTTTTTTCTTTTTGGTCACTCTTATTTTATTCAGTCTTGGTTTAAGTAGTTTTCTTAACTTCTCTTATTTCTCTTTTCTTTTGCTTAATTTGTGGACCCCGTCTTGCCCCACTCTCCCCTACCCCACCTTGCCCGCACCTACGAAATTTAATAAAATTATTAATTACTACAATTTACGATTCAACAAAGAAAACAACATATGCTTCCCTTCTTCTGTAACCCTTGACAGTTAGAAAAAAATTTATACAGTTCATTAACTGTTATTATTAAGTAATAAACACCTTCTAAAAAAGTGAAAAAATGACAAGAAAATCGTCGAAAACAGTTTTTTTAGTAAAACAGATAAAAGATTTCTTCTCATGGCTTTTAGGTTTTGTAAACAAGAAACTATCGTCTCGGTGCAGTATTATGTAAAATATAATCGCGATTGGTTAATTCGTTTGTTAAATAGGGCCGGTACCTCGTTTACAAAAACTTGATGTGAATTTTCCTTTTTTTTTGTTACAGATATTTGAAGGAGATTATTTTCAAGAATCCAACATGTCTTCTGAAGATTATGACAATTGCGAATCACCTTGTCCGTATGAAGAAGAAGAAGATTATTTATACGATTATAGTGATTGTCCAATCGATACACCACTGTATAATGCTGTTTATAATGGAGATTTAAAGGCCTTTCTTCTTTTATTTGACGAAATTTCCTTAGAAGAAAGAGAAGAAATACGTTCACTATTGCATACAGCAGCAGTAAGAGGACATTCTGAAATTGTTAGTATACTTTGCGAGCGCAATTTCCCTCTCAATGGAGGAGATTATTCCGGTGATACACCTCTGCACCTAGCGATACGCAACAATCATCCAAGTGTGTTCGACGTATTAGTAAGAAAATGTAATCTGAACGCGACAAATAGAGTTGGCCATGCTCCGCTTCATCTTGCCGCATACGAAAATTATATTCAATTTGTAGAAATTCTTTTGAAAAAAGGTGCAAAAATTAATGTACAAAGTAAAAACGGATATACACCACTTCATTGTGCTATTTATAGAAAACACATTCAATTAGCAGAGATTCTTTTACAAAATGGCGCTAATGTTAATGTTCAAGCAAAAAATAAACAATCACCACTTTATGTTGCCATACAAATAAAGAGCATCCAATTAGCAGAGATTCTTTTACAGAATGGCGCTGATGTTAATGTAGTAGATAAAAATGAAACAACGCCACTTGCTTCCGCTGCGATATATAATAACATTGAACTTGTCGAATTGCTTTTAAAAAATGGTGCTACAATAAGTGAAGAACAGAAGGCAAATAAAGAAACACACGAAATTATGATGATGCCTCTTTATTACGCAGTTAAGAACAGGAATTACAAAATAGTCAAATTACTAATGATGAATGGATTTAACGCTGTAGATGCTGCCTTGCATGAGGCAGTAAGAAACAATGATTATGAAATTTTAAAGTATTTGGTGGAACATGGTTCGAAAATTAATGCAAAATCTAAAGCCTGGTTGGAAGATGAAGATGAAAAAAAAATTAAGATATTTTGGTCTAGAACGATTCTTCAATCGTCACTTTCTGAAGGAAGTTTGAAAATTTGGAGATATTTATTAAAAAACAGTTCGAAAATTGACGCATCTCCAAATTCAGCTCTTCATTTAGCAGTGCGAGAGGGTCAAACGGAAGTTGTGAAAAAAATGGTGAAGCAAAAAGACTTGGATACAAATTCGATTGATAGCAGATTGGCCGTTTACATTGCAGTCGAAAATGGAAATGAAGAAATTTTAAAAATCCTTCTAGAAGCGGGATATTCTTTTAAAACTTGTTTTAGAGATAGAAGTCCTCTTCATATTGCAGCAACATTTAATCATACAAGATTAGTCGAAATGCTGCTAAACGCTGGCGCTGATTTGAATACAATGACAGAAGAAAATGAGACCTGTTTACATTTCGTAACAGCTGCAGGACAATCAACTGTTGTTAAATTTCTCCTCGAGGCTGGTATTAAAACTACTGAATTTTATATGGCTTTAGAATATACACTACGCAGAGGTCGAGACTTTGAAAAATTGTGGACCCTTTCTCCCCTGATGTATAAAAATATCTCAAACATCGCGGAAATGTTGATTATTGTAGAAATTAGTAAAACTAAAGATCTCTACAAGTTATGGTCAAGTTTATCATATTTCGCAAACAAAATAACAGTTCCTGAACAAAATAAACAAAAGTCTTCCTTGAGCTTACCACAAACAGAAAAATTTATCTTGGACGAAATCAAATTTAAAGAAACTGACAAAATTGGAAAATATGGAAATGAATTTTTAATGTGCATCCTTAATCGCCTGAGTGTTTTTCAAATTAAACGCTTTTCAGAAGAACTAATGATTGATATAACAAGATATGATTCTGGTAAATTTTCTTCAGAATTGATGCATACTATTTTTGAATACAATGATTATAGAAGTTGTTTTTATAAAAATGATATCAAACGATTATTTCATTCAAATTTAGAAGATTCTAACATTAGTTTACTTATGATCAGTCACATTGAAACCGAATACTCCCTTCATCATATTAATTGGGGAAGAAATCCCACTGATCTTTTAAAATTGTTCGCTGCGCGTCTATTTATTATTTCCCGTAATTCTTACTTTGAGAATGATCTGCAATTTTATAAGAAACATAATCTTATCGAATGGCGTGATGAATGTGAGCGTGAGGTGAAATTAATGGAAGAAACAGAAATTGACAACGATTATTGTGTAACTTTCTACGAAATTTTAACGCAATCTGTAAATAAAGTTGCGAACTACACAAGAAATGATAGATTGATTCAAATCGTGGAGTCATCTTACGTGCGATTTCCAGCTTATGCTGAATTTTTAAAGTTGAGTGTTGAAAAAGGCAAACGAAGAAGAGAACTAATCGACAAATGTATGAATTTCATGTTGAATCTAATTAAAAAAAATAATGGAATTCAATTCTCAACTATGGAAATTAATCAAATTTTCCATTATCTTTCAGTAGTAGATATGCGACGTTTATTAGCAGCATTCTCTTAAGTAACAACTCTTTTAAAAGTATCCAGTAAGAAGCGAGGAATTAAATTAAGAAATAAATTTAAAACCGCTGCCAAGTTGTATATTTTTTTATAATTTTGGTGCTCATTTCATGAACACTTTACTTCCTCATAGAGATAAAAATAATAGAAATATATGAATAACTTTTTATAAATATAGTAAAAGTGATGGAATTTTGTGTCAATCAATGTATTTTTAAATACCCTACAAGATAGTTACAATAAATTAATAGTTAAACAAAAATTTTCAAACAAAAAAGTTGAGAAAATATCATTTTTCACAATTTTTGGTTTTTAAAATACCAATAATTTCGAAATTTATTATCGAATTAGGTTCAAAAGTAGGTCAATCGAAGCGTTTTTTAATGGTCTACAAGTTAGTGGCAATAATTTTAAAGTTACTTCTACATTTTTCAACAAAATTTTCAAAAAAGTCTTATTTGCCGAAATTTTGAATTTTTAAAAGTTTAATATCTCCGGTTAATATGGACGAAAAATGTTCAATTTGGGCTCAAAAGATGCGTCTAAAAAAACTCTAAAAAAATTATGGAAAACATTTATAGGTGTCCTAACATTTTTTTAAAGTTATGGGCAAAAAACGTTTTTTTGCAAAATTAAAAATCCAAAAAAAATTTAGTTAAACTTTATTAATCAATCTCAAAGTACTCTCATCTTCTGTCCGCAGGTGAGATCTACAATTTAAAAAAAAATTCAACCCAAAAGCTCTTCATGATTCCGAGATATTTATGAAAATGTGATGTTTACACACACACACACACACATACGGAATGACATTTTTTAAAAATGCCATTTTTGAACTCCTGAGGTCGAATAACATAAAGATATGTCAAAAAATCGAACTCGAAAAATTTCAGTATTACAATACTTCCTCTATGAGGAAGTAAAAAGTACGTAAAATGCACGTATTCACTTTATGTGAATTCTTTTTAATTTTTCGCTTCTTACTGAATACGTAAAATTTAGTTATTGTAGCCAGTTAATTAAGTTTCGTTGTTTAAAATGCCTATTTGTCCGATTTTATTCCTACTGACATTAAAATTGTTCAATCAGTTAAGAACACTGAAAAATAAGAAAACAAATTTATTTTTTCATGTAGTATTTAGAATATAAATTTCATTTTATGAAAAATCGTTTCTTTCTACTTTTGTAAATTTAATAAAATATAAAATGTTCTTACCTAACAAAATTCTAGAATCTCCTGTTTTGTAATTGCATTTAAGCACTCAATCTCATTAGTCCTATTTAAAGCATACGTTTGAAGAAATTTCCTCCCAAAATTAAAACTTTTTTGAAATTTATGAATTTTATAAATGATTAAATACAAATCGTGGTGTCTATTAAATTCCATTCTTCAAATTCCCTGTTTTTTCCCGGTTAGTGTTATTTAGAATCTAACTTTTAAAAATATAAAAACAAATCCTCTATTAAATAAATAGAAATGATTATCTATTATAGACACTAACTTATAAAAGAATTCCATATAATTAATGCAACTTGATGACCCCAGTAAAAAAGACTAATTCAAACGGATTGAAATGAATTAAGATTTTTGGTAGAAAGCGGGATTCATTCAAGCTCTTTGTATATTCGATTGAATTCGATTCAATTTGCCTGAATTTGTGCAAAAGAATTCGCATTCGAAAGAAATGCATTGAATTCGTGATGGCGAATTAAAAAAAATTAATGGCCCCAAAACTTGTCCATTGAATTAGTATGAATAGAAGGTTTGGAAGTTCAATATACAGTTTGACGAATTCAGGAAAATTGCAACATGGCTCCAATTCGTATTTGTCACAAAGCGTGATTCACTGAAATTCTTTGTGAATTCTTTTTAATTTATTTCAATTTGTTTTTGTTTACTAGGACATTTTATAAACATACTTTATTTTATAAATTTATAATTTGGCACCACTTAGAGTAGCTTAATAATAAAAACCCCAAAGTAACAAATTTTATAAAAGTTGGATAGAGATTCACAATTGTACCTAATATATTTATCAGTTAGTATAAGCGCCCTGCAAATATTTCATTGATATTGTTTCCAAAAAGTGTCACGAGAAGATAATCAAATATTTAAAATAATAATTTAAGAACTCAAAAAACTCCCGAATAACAAATTTTATAAAAATTGCATTAATGTAAAACATTGTCTACCATATAGCGAATCCGACACTGGTTGAAGAAGATCTCTTAACAAAGAGATTTCCTTCCAAGAAATATTAAAAGAATATAACAACCAAAATGGAGAAGGGAAAGTGCTCTTGCAAAATATGAAAAAACAACTTGGAGAACAGATTCTTCAAAACTCAAAATTAAAAGAAGAATTGTAGAAGCGGAAAAATCTGCTGAAAATTCAAACTTTAAGAATTGCAGAAGATGAAGAAATTGCCTTCAAATTCAGGGTTGCCACAAGTCAGGTAAATCAGGGAAGTCAGGGATTTTTATTAAAAGTATAGGAAGAAATTAAATGTTTAGAATTTATAAAAAAATTCTGAATTTTTGTATTTTTGTTTGTCTCATAAACTATGAAATTACCACGAATTCTAAAAAAAACCTTAAATTTTTTTCTATTTCTGACAATAATTTATTTTAGATAACTTAATTTTATTGAAGAACTGTCATAAAGTTATTACTTATAGATCATTTAATTAAGTATTTTTTTTGAAAAACTTTTATTTCAATTCTGTTTAAATTAGTTTCAATTAAAAAAATTTTTAACTCAATTATTTGAAAGAATTTAACTATTTTAATAAATAGTAAAATTCTTTCCAGAAATTCAATTATTTTCAAAAAATTTTTTTAAAATTCTCGTCAACATTTTAATTATCTTATTATAAATAGCAAAATTCTTCACCGAAATTCAATTATATTCATGAATGTTTATAATATTCATTGTAAAATTCAATTATTTTCATAAATAACAATATTCGACGCAGAAATTCAATTATTTTCAAAGAATCCAAAAAGAATTGTCGTCAACATTTCAATTATCTTTATATAATTGAATACCAAAATTCTTCGACAAATTTTAATTATTTTCAGGAATTTTAATAAAATTCATTGTAAAATTCAATTGTTTTCATAAATAATAGTATTTGTCATAAGAATCCAATTATTTTAAAAAAGTAATAAAATTCAATAATTTATTATTTTCAAAAATTTAAATAAAAAAATCAAGGAAAAATATCAATTATTTTCAAACATTTTTCTTAATTGCATTATTTTCAATATTTTACTATTTTAATAAAACTTCTCAAAAAATTCAATTATTTGAAAACAATTTTGACAAAGTTCTAAACGAATATTTAATTTATTATCTTCTACAATAATGAAAATTTCACAGGAATTCAATTATTAAAAATAGAATTTGCATACAGTTTATAAAAAAAATCAATTGTTGTAAACTTTGTTTATAAAATTCTTCGCAATAATTCAATTATTTTCATAAATAATAAAACTCATTGCAGAATTTAAATTATTTTTAATACAATTTTAATCAAATTCCTCAAAAAAATGAATTATTAGTAACAATATTATTAAAAATTGGTCGAAAGAATTCAATTATTTAAAAATTTGTTGATAAAATTCTATAAAAGAATTAAATTTTAAAAAACATTCATTAATTTATTCAATAAATTATTTACATTTGTATTTAAATAATTGAATTCTCGTAGAATGTTCTAATAAAAATTGATTTAAAAATTAATTTCACATAATAAGTTTTAGATTTAACTTTAGAGATGTTACTAATACTTGCAATTTTTAGAAATAATTTAATTTTGTAAAGGTTTCAAATTAAAATCTGTGAAAATTTGAATTTTTCATACTTTTAATTAAAAATTCTATGAAACTAATTTTTTTCAAAAAGCTTAATAGTAATTTTTTGAAATTATTTCAATTTTTTATTTACTAATGTAGGTATGTTTAATTGGAGAATTTCTGAATATGTAATTGAAATTTCACGTAAAATTGAATTGTAAACCAAATGAATTTGAAAATTCTCTAAAGAACTTTATCGTAAATTATTAGAATTTTATTTAAAAATTTTAGAAATTAATAAAAAAAATTGTTTTTCATAATTTTTATAACATTTTTGTGAAAAAAAATTTTCTGTTTTTAGGCTGAAAATGCTAAAAAATATCATTTTTCTTCATTTTTTAAAATGGAAAATTCAATTGTTTATTTTTCTAACTAATTTCAGGTCATAATTTTTATATATAAAAAACAAAAATAAAAAAAAGATTAGCATAAAATTATGATCTGAAATTAGTTAGAAAAATAAACAAATGAATTTTTAGTTTAAAAAAATGAAGAATAATTGTATTTTTTGTCATTTTCAGCCTAAAAACAGGAATATTTTCTATACTCTCCCCTGAACGAATATATTATATGCATAATTTTCTGTTTTCAGAATTAATTAAGGGTCAAACTGCGAAAAAAGAAGGGGTTTAGTCTACTGCAGAGCCATTATTGTTGGAAGAATAACATTGGACTATCGAAAGGTATTTTATCTTTAAATTGTTAAAATTTAGTTAAAAACAATAAAAAAAAATAAATTTTTAAGAAGTTTTAAAGATTGCAAAAATTCAATTATTTTCCAAGATTTTAATAAAATTCTTGTCAAAGTTTCAATTATATTTTCAATAATTTTTCTGAATTAAATGATTTTCAACATCACAGGAATTCAATTATATAAAATTTTTTTTAAAAATATCTTCCTAGGTTCTGTGAAACTAGCGACACGAAAAAATCCATGCAAGAATAGCAATAAACTTTAAATAAATTAATTTTTTCGATTTTTGGAAGACGTACCTTTCTTCGGTTAATATAAAATTATAAAAATATGAACTAATATTAAATTATTATCCCTATAAAGCTTATATAACCAAAGTATAATTTTATTTTAAAGAATTTTTTCGTCATTAGAAATTTAATTCTTTCTATCTGTAATTCTAGTGTCATTTTAGTTTAAGTAAACGAAAAAATATATTTATTTTTCATTATATTTTCAGGTATCAGAAGTAGAAAAATGTAAGAATATTCATTGCCTTTTTATTTATTTAGTATTTTATTTTTTCTTTATTATTGACATATTCAAAAATTTATTTGTTCAGTTTTTGAAAAGATCGATAAAAGTGAAAAATGTTGCAACTTAATTTACACAAACAATTTTTTTGAATGTTGATTGTAAAACTTGTCATGGCCGTATGATCGACGAAGAAACGTCAAAGTAGATGATGAATTTGAATTTATTGTATGGTATTTGATGGTTTTTTTTTAAATTCATTTCATGTCCATAGTATAAGCCTCATTCCGAAATTAACAGATTTTAATCTAACTCAGGCTGGAAGAGAAATCAAAATTAATTTAAATTTGAAACTATAATATTATTGTAAAATATTTTTATTTTATTTGTTATTTTATTTTTTTTTATTTTTATTTTATTTTTTATTTTTTTTTATTTATTTATTTTTTATTTATTTTTATTTATTTTAAATTTTTTTCTCTTTTTTTAAATATTTTTTAAATATTTTTTAAAATTCAAAATAACCGAAAAAATTTACCTTCAAAGGGTATAAGAATGTGTCCGCTGAAACCTCAACATCCCCTGATTTTGCAACACACACGTATCTTCCCATATCTTCCCACTTTATATCTTCAACCAGCAGATCGCCGTTTTCTAAAATACTGTAGCGGGAATTATCAAAATTAATACGCTTCTCAAAATTATCAAGCCAGTATATTTCCGGTCGAGGATTGCCACTTGTTCTGCATGGAATAATGATTGTCGAGCCAATATTAGAAAGAATTGATTTAGCGTTAAGATTAATCACTGGTTTATTGGATTCCTGACAAGTTCTCTTCAAACTTTCTAGATTAGAGAAAATAAATATAAATTATTAGATAGGGAGTTAAAACATATATTGTTAACGAATTTAAACTTCTATAATCACAATTTTTACACCAGCACCGAGAAAATTATCCTAACATTGTTTAAAATAATCATTATAATTTATATGCAGGGCCGGATTTACTTGACAGGGGGCCCCATGTAAGGAAAGGGTTTTTCAAAAATTTTCCAATATTAAAAATATATTAAGTAAAATATATTTTATATATATGAATTAAGCGAGCTACTTAACTTTCTAAACTTAAATTTCTAAAATTATTTTGTAAAAATAAAAAAAAAATTAAAATTTAAAAAAAAAAATTTTTTACACTTTTTGTAAAAAATATTTTAGATGGTGGGGGCCCATAGGCAATTGCCTAGTTTGCCTCTGTATAAATCCGGGCCTGAAATTATATGTTTTAAGGACAGTTCTTTAAAATTTAACTTACGGTCAACTCTTAGAAAAGTGCTGGCTAATTGAATTTCTCTACCAGCAACACCAGCGCAGTAAATTAAACCTTCGTCTTCAGGTGTCACGCAATCTATAACTAATTTGCCAGCTACTCGAGTTATTCCTTCCCAAGGTACATCAGCAATACCTTTCTTTAAAATTTCTTTAATCTGTAAAAAGTACAAAACTTTAAATATCCAAATGGAAAACATTAAAAACAATTAAGTTTGTTTTGTTAAGGAAAAATTTCAATTCATTTCATATATAATTATTTAAAAAAAAACCTTTGTTTCGGTTTTAATTCCTCTGATCCAATGTAAGCTGGGAGTTGGACTGCCCGTTATTTCGCAATTAAATTCCACACGATCGCTAAAAATGTTGAAAATTATTCCCTATTCAAGATTATAATGAGAAGTATCAAAATTTATTCTACTCACCCAACTCGAACAGGTTTAGAATTATTTTGCTCTAATTGTACTAATACCCATGCATTTTTCATTGAAAGCTGTAAATATTTAAAATTATTTAAATATTTTAAAAACATCGATATAGAAAAATTTTTAAAATCCTTACACCAAAACTAGTAAATGATTGTAATTTATTCTTACTGGATTCGAAGGATTAACATATGAACGATGTGGTTTTTTTACATTGTTCGGCCTTGATATCGTATTGACATTTTCATCTAATGCTTCCAAAATGAATCCATACCCTTGTGTAGCTACTATTGTCGTTATTACTACACTTAGACAGAAAATTTGTAGACTCATCTGAAATAAGTATTAAATCGTTATAAATGTTATAATACTGTTATTTAGACTAAATAGAAAGTTGCTTAAAATTATTTTAGTATAACCGTTTTTAACTTTTTTTTTAACCGTTTTTTAAATTAGGGGCCTTCCATAAACTACGTTACGAATTTAGGGGGAGGGTCCAAAAATTAAAAAAATTACTTGTAACGCAATGGTAACGAAGGGGTGGAGGGGTATAAAAAGTCTGAAAAATTGGTAACGTAGTTTATGGATGGCCCCTTACATTAAAAATAATACGATGATGATATAAGTTATAAGTTTTATTGGAATTTGTCGAATCAGCTTGAAAGTGTCGAAAAAAAATATTTTTAAATTCTAATAAATTTTAAATATAATTTAAATTTAGGATTTAGGATCCTAAATCGCACACTACCGAAAGTTTCCTAAAAATCAAAATCTTTAATTGTGGAACTCATAAAATTACAAGTAATTCTTTAAAGGTCCGCATACATACATATACATAGTAGATATTGAAAATCATTGAATTGCGTAAAGTTTTTAAAAATAATTAAATTTTACAAAGAATTCTATTAAAATTTTTGAGAATAATTGAATGTCTGTGTGGTATTTTATTAAATTTTTTTGACAATAATTGAATTCCTAAAAAGCATTTTATTATTTATCAAAATAATTGAATTCTTAATTTCTTACAAACGATTTTATTTATTACTTTTAAAAATAATTAAATTCTTGTGATGAATATTGTTATTTATGAAATTATTTGCAAAGAATTTTATAAAAATGCCTTAAAATAATTGAATTTTTGGGAATAATTTTGTTATTTATCTTTAATAATTGAATTCTTTCGAAGAATTATTTATGTAAACAATTGAATTCTTGGGAAGAATTTTATTAAAATCTAAAAGAATAATTGAATTATTTCAAAAAGATTTAATTAAAATTATATTTAAAATAATTGATTTCTTTCGAACAATTTTATTAAAATATCTGAAAATAATTGAATTCCTGTGAAAAATTCTAATAAAAAAAAAATTCTAGTAAATAATTGAATTCTCGAAAAGAATTAAAAAAAAACTTTTTCTTACATATTTGATTTCTTCGAGGAATTGAAACCAAATTTTTTAGAATAATTACATTTTTCAAGCAATTTCTGTAAAATTTTATTAAAAATAATTGAAATTCTGAGATGAATTTTATTATTTATGAAAATAATTGAATAGTTGTTAAAAATTTTCAAAACTAATTGAATTCCTGAGAAGAATTTTATAATCTATGAAAATAATAGAATTATTACGAAAAATTTTATAAAAATGTTTTTTAAAGAATTGAAAATAATTGAATTCTTGCGAAAAATTTTATTGAAAGGTTTAAAAAGAATTGAATTCTTTATGAAAATTTTATAAACATTCTTTTAAGTAATTAATTTTTTCGAAATATAATAAAATATAATGAAAATTTTATTTTAAATAATTGAATTCTTGTGGAAAACTTTATTTGTAAAAATAATTGAATTTTTTGATTAATTAATTTAAAATAGTATTCAAAGTAATTGGAATAATAAACTCTTTGATGAGTTTTATTATTTATGAAAATAATTGAATTTTGGATAAATTTTATCAATTATTTTTAAATAATTGAATTCTTTTGTGAAATTTGATGAAAATACTAGATATTGGAAATAATTGAATTTTGAATATTTTTTGAAAATAATTTAATTTTTTTAAAGAATTTGATTATAATTTGTGTGAATAGTTTTTTGATTTCTAGTATTAGCAAAATTAAAGTATTGGAAATTCTCAAAAGAAAAAGAAAAAAAAACAGAAATAGTAGCTTTTAGTGGCTGAAATTTAAAAAAAGTACCCAAATAGTAGCATAACGTAAAAAAAGTATTAAATTGTAGGGTTTACTTGATGAGTTCAAAGCCTGTTATTTATTGTGTAAAAAATAACTATGGCAAAAATTTTAAATAGTTATTTGTCTTGGACTATTGAATTGAATAAAAACTTACCAAGTAAAAAAAAATTTGTATTGAACACTTAAATTTACATTGGGAAATATTTTTCTTAAAGTGTATAGAATATTATAAAAACGAAATAAAGCACACGCACACTAAAACTTTCGTTTTTTAGTCTAGCTCAAAAAGTTAAAAATTAAAAAAAAATTATTATCCATATATTACTATAAGTTAGTAGACACTATTATTTAAATACTAAATTCAACCACCAGGAAAGGGACAATTTCGTTTTCTAAATATTGTCATACTTATCAACAAAAAAAGAGATGAACACAAACATTCATTGTTATCACTTACTATTTGTTAATTTTCGTATTTTATTTAATAATTTATTTAATAAAAATTATTTAAAAATAAAATTATTAATATATTTAATAACAAATTAAAAAAAATTGTCAAATTAAAAAAAAATTAAAATGTAATAATAATAATAAATTAATTTACCGTTAATTTGTATAAAACAAGTATCTTGTATCAAAAATATTGAGAAGTTAAAAAATTAACTTGGAACTGTTATTCTAACATAAAAGAGATGAAAGAGACTGTACCTCAACTTTTGACATCAGTACATTTATACTTCTCAAATGTAACATTCGAAACCCTTGTTTCCTGACGATTGGCTTTCGAAGATTAGAGTAGGGGTAGTTTAATATCATGGGAGACTAATTGAATTCTTTGAAGCAGTTTAAAGAGTACATACCAACACCACGTGAATCAAGTTTATTTAATCAAGAAATATAAATTAACGTATTGAATATAACGAATCATATTTAAAATCTATGTAAACAGTAACTGTGTTAATATGCTAAAAAGAAGTTTATTCAAAAACTCTTACATAATTCTATACCATACATCAATACATACACATATATACACACACACACTTGTTTGAACAAATTTTCATGACAATTGCTAAAGTTTACTTTTTTTTATAAATTAGTTTTAATGAATTAAATTACTTCTTTTAAAACCATTGACATTTGACAATATATTTCTTTGTCTCTTTTTTGTTGAAATTTATGAAAAACTGAAACAATAACTGCAAATAAGCATTTTTAAATGATAATTGAGAAATTATATATAAAATCAATAGTTTTTTTAGACAATAATTACATTATTACTTTTATATTAATATAGAATTGCATTAACGACCTCAACCCCTATTCGAACAAATTTATTTCTTTTAATTGTCTTTTATATCATTGTCCTTGTATACAGCACAGTATGATTCCAGGTTCCATCATTTTTAATATGAAGAAAGTAAATTAAATGCCAACAGTTAATTATAATTATTATTATTATTAATAATATCATTGGAGAAATATAAGAACTTTACCTCAGTTTATTGCACTACACTGAAAAAAATTCGGTCGAAATCTTTAACTACTATTACCTAGTTGAGTTGAAAGTTGTCAAATTAATTACTTTTTTAGTTTTACTAACAATTTTTGTGTAGTTGATTTTACTACTTTGAATATAGTTGAAGAATAATAGTTTATATAACTAAAAAAAGTAGTTAAATTGCAAAAACAACTACAAAATCTAATTACATCAACTAAATTCTTAGTTCTTTTTACTACTTTCGGTAGTAAATATAAATTTTTAAATTCAGTTGAGGACCTATTGAATCACTCAGGGTAGTTAAAAAGTAGTCAAATCTACTAGTTTTTTTTTTGAGTGTATGTCAAAAGAATACACGTGTGTAGTTATGTATAATAAATTTACATAGTTACGTATTTACAAGTTGAAATATTTCATCACGTGTAAAGTTACGCGTAAAGTTAAATATTTGTAACTGACATTTAAATAGTGGAAATATACGAGGTAAATTTACGCGTGGATTTTTAATGTTATATTTTTAAATGATTTTGATGAAATTATTTCAGGACTATACGTGATTTATTGTTGTAAACTTAACTTAAGTTTACATGCAAAATTCGAGAGATCACACTGTCAACTCGAGGTAATCTTTAGGTGAGATGTAAGCTCTAACACAGCATCTAAACTTGTAGCAACATTGACAACATTGCCTTAATATTGTGAAACTTGCAGCGGAACATAATTGATTAAATTAATTATTAAATAATGATTTCATAAAAAAAAAAATTTTAAACATTGTTATTTCTTTGCAATATTCAGGAAACATTGCTTTTTATTTTTATAATATAATTAAATATTACAATAATGATCACAATGATATAATAATAATATATCTGAGGCATTTCACGTCAGAAATATCACGATTTGCAAAAGGTATGCCGATTTTCGCAAAATTTCGTGGGATTATAGTTCTATATAAGAGACTTCTTTCCCCCAAATTTTTTCAAAAAAAATTCAAAATTGTTGAAGATACGCCATTTTGAATTTTAATATTAATTTTATAAAATTTTGAATATCTCGGAATATTGTTTATGGATTTTTATGAAATTTACACATTTTCCAGGTAAAAGTATGTACTTTAAAATGCAGATAAATTTAATAAAAAAAAATTAATTTTTAAATAAAAAAATTAAAAAAATTTTTTTGTTTATTTACTCCTCTGTGAGAAAAATGTTATTAACATATTTAGATTCCTTATGAATTCACCTTTAATTTCATAAAAAAAAATTGATGGAGACTCAACTGGTTCCAGAGATATTGAATTTTTTGTAAAAAATAGTCATAGTTACAGCAGCAATGCACGACTGCGGTAACGTACTACGCGACTTGTGCAGTATGGTGCTATGGCGCGGCGACGCTTTTTTTACAAAAAATTCAATATCTCCGGAACCAGTTGAGTCTCCATCAATTTTTTTTTATGAAATTAAAGGTGAATTCATAAGGAATCCAAATATGTTAATAACATTTTTCTCAGAGATGAGTAAATAAACAAAAAATTGTTTAAAAAAATTTTTTTTAATTTTTTTATTTAAAAATTAATTTTTCTTTATTAGCTTTATTTGCATTTTAAAGTACATACTTTTACCTGAAAAATGTGTAAATT